CCAAGACCTATAAAAAGCACCTCGACTTAACCCTCCAAATGCCCACAATCTAATCCCAACCCAGGTTTCCTACAAGGATCTTACATCACAGGACCCTGTAGCCTAGTCCCTTATTCAACTCCTAACTGTTTAACCTCATGGTCTGCCTCTGTGTTCAGTCTTGGCCTCCTATCATTAAGTCCCACACTTTTTACCAAAGGTTTACATCAAAGGTCATCTGACTTCAAGAATGCTGGGTTTGCCCCAATCTGACTGGAACGTTCCTCTGTGCAATCTCTTGGTTGCAAACATCTCCAGGCCCATGTGGCATGCTAGCTCACTGCATTAATCTTTTTTCCAGTCTGTTGAAGTCAAACAGGACAGAGGCTATGTCTTATCTATTTCTCCATCTCCAGAATACAGGTCAGTAAACATTTCTTCTAGTTGAGCTGATTCTGGTTTTCACCCCCAGAAATGATGGTGCAAGAACGTGAAGGATAGATTTTGTGGCTGTCTGCCTGCCTTGGAGTGTCAGGCAGCTTCCAAATCATCCTCATTTCTACTCACAGAGTGTAACATACTGTTGTCCCACTCATTACAAAATCAAAACTACTTATCACTTTCAAGCTCCATAAAATGGGCTTGTAACAGGGTAGAAGGCACCAGGTTGGTGTTTCCTAAGATACAGTGGATTTGTAGCTGTATTCCTAGAAACCATGATGGCATACCCCCCTTAATTAAGTCTATTTATTGTATATATTTAAAACAGACATAATATGCTTTTCCCTTTAAAAGTGTTCAAGCCCCTAAAACTAGTACCCAGAATAGCACAGTCTTTTTCCACCCAGAAGTCATTCCAACTCAGGGTTTAACATGTATCTCCTAGAGAGATACATGGTCACGTAATTCCTTCCCCAAAACTTGAGCCATAAAGAAGATGTTCAGAACTCTAATCAAGATGTTTAAAGATTAATTTACTAAGTGAATAATTTTTTTTCCAGTAACTGGAAAAATCTTTGCAGAAAAGAGAGACCAGAAAGTCTAGGGAGATGAGCAACCATCTTCCTGAGGATGCAATGCTTGGCTGCAGTCTCATTTTCCATCACACTTTATTTAATTTTTCTTTACTTATATCACATAAATTAACTCAGCAGTCATGCAGAATAATTTTGCTTCATTTGGATCTAAATTAATGAGTGTGATCACAAAGCCATATACAATTTCAATGAAGACACACTATAATTATTCTATTGCATGGGTTAGCATTTCAGCCATGTATTAATGTATTTTGAATGTGTGATGTATGATGCTTTTGTGGTCTTCTGCCATAACATCCTACTGAAAAATGTCCTCCAGTTTTAACAAATGCTAAAAATAAATTATTAAGCACACAGAAATGGAACAGAGAGAAATAAAGAAATAACAAAGGGAGAAATATGCTTGCTGGAACCCATTTCCTCCTGTACATTTTATTTCCAAATAGCTTTGTTAAGTAATGCATGAAGTCGTACAACAATAGATCTTTTTGTTCTCCTCTCCTAGCATTTGAGGAGTTTCATGGACAGAGAAATCCGGCCATTTGAGCACATGTACAAACTGGAGAGGGGAAACCACAAAAGCAGACAGCCTACATCTGCGGGCAATCGTGAGTTTTGCCTGTAAGTGTCAGCTTGAGTCCATGAATTATTCTGGCCCAGGTCATGGAGTTCACAGAGCCCTGTTTAGGAAGCATGACACTCATAGGGAAGGCAATTATATGTTTTTCAAATTAATCCCAAACAAGACAATGATTTAAAAATAGATGCAGTCTCTTCTAAAGAGCTTTTAGTCGTAAGAGTAATTTTTCCCTCCCTACTCTTCAGGTCTTCCAAACAAGCCCTCTTTCTCCTTGCTGCTGTTAAAGGTATAAAGTGGGGCTTCCACCTGCTAGCACTCACAGACCAATACCTTTAATTTTTGGCACTTATTTACAGTCTGAATGGACCATCCACACCTGCTTTCCCTCTAATTAGCTGGCTATCTAAAGGCTTCAGTCTGAGCCTGCCAGCTTCCTGAACGGAGAGGAAGATCATTTAGCTGCTGATGTGAGAGAAATGGGGGTAGGGAAAGGAGGGATATTTTTCTTTGAGAGAATTAAAGAGGAAAACATTAGAACAAAATGAAGAGTTATTCATAAAGAATAAGGAAGTAAAAAGCCTTTAAGACAACCAACCTGAAGCTGAAGAAATGAATAGCATCCCTAACTGACACTGATAGTCATTTCTACCTAAGAGCATTGGAAATCTTCTATGGTGTCTTAGTCAGTGCTCTATTGTGCTCTATTGCTGTTAAGAGACACCATGACCACAGCAACTCTTACAAATGAAAACATTTAACTGGGGCTGGCTTACAGGTTCAGAGGTTTAGTCCATTGTGAGTATGGTGGGAAGCATGGCAGCATGCAGACAGACATGGTGCTGAAGAGGGAGCTGAAAGTTACATATCTGGATCAGTAGGCAGCAGGAAGAGTGACATTGGGACCTACTTAAGCTTCTAAAACCTCAAAGCCCACCCCCCACCCCCGAGAGATACTACCTCCAACAAGACCACACCCCCAATAATGCCACTCCCTAGAGTCTATGGGGCCCATTTTCATTCAAACCACCACAGCACCCAACTTCCTTCCCAGTTCACTCTCTGTAATGTCATTCTGCATCAGGCTGTCAGAGATAAGGATTGCAATCCCTATTGTATTAGTCAGGGGTCCCTAAAGGAGCAGAACTATAGACTTAGTACATATTATAAATGGGTGGTTTAGACTGGTTTACACCACGATAGGTCTGGACAGCCCAATAGTAACTGTCTACAAACATGAGTTGTTCCTTTCACAATGCTGGTGCTCAGCAGTCCCAATACATGGAGGATTTCCAGAGAGCCTTGGTCTTGAGTCCACATTGGAAAGACAAAGAAATTGGGTTCTGGAGTCAACAAGGGAGGAAAGAGATGTTGATGAAATAGTCACTCACCAAGAAAAAAAAAAGTTAGGCACTCAGCCCTGATTCCCCTCGGATCACCATGGTCTAGAACAGCTAGCTGAGGGGCAGGAAGTCTTCCTGGGAAAACCCTCCCAGATCTGCCCAAAGGTATCTCTTAGTTAATTCCACACTCAACCAAGTTAACTTCATCACCACACTCACAGAGCACAAACAAGACTGAGTTGGAGGCAGAAATCTCCAAGCTCCTCACGTAACCTCTGGCCCACCGCTGGAATCTGAACAAGCCATGTGATTTAGGAACCTGAAGGCATGTCCAAACACCAAGTCCCCATTTCCAGGGCATCCAACTCATTCTTCTGGCCTTTGAAGGCACTGTGTGTACATAGTACACATACATACACTCAGACACATGGATATACACATAAAATAAATAAATACTTTTATTACCACACACAAAAGCCCTGGAATTCTCTCTGATTCACATCTCAACCAGAACATGGGTCATGCCTCTTGAATAATGCTTTCTGTTTCTCTCCCTCTTCTCTTTCTTATCCCTGCCCTTTTAAGTCAGCTCCTTGTGATCTCAAAACTAGGAGACTACACTTTTACCAAATTGGGGGAGGGGATATTGTTTTGTTTGGTTTGGTTCTAAAAACATATACTTTTTTTCTGGAACTCTATCTTGAGACATGAAATTTTAAAAGCTTAAACACAATCCCAAATTCTGCATGCTTTTGCCAGCACAATAAATGGGAAAGAGATGAACCGGGAAGAATTATGTTCCAATAACGCCCACATAAAGTCACTGTCACTTGGAGGCAGCTTCTGAAATAATCTGCCTGGTCAGATTAAGAAATAAACCCCACACTAAGCCAAAGTCACACTTTTCCAGAGACTTGCTTGTCTTTTAAGGCTGGATTGGGGGGGGGGAATGACACTAACTCGCTGATACGAATTACTACTCTACAGTTTGGTATTCATTGTACTGATGGCTTTGGTAAGAATAATTTTGCTCTGGGGTATCCACAACCCCTCCCTTCCCTGAAACTCTTAGAAACAAACAAATGGAGAAGACACTTGATCTCCATTTTCCTTGGGGATTTATCGGTCTCCATTTGGGTAAGAGAAACGTCCAATAGGCTTTTGTGACCTATCTTGGTCATGTGTACTGCAAAGTGCACAGCTCCATGGCTCATCAACTGGAGAGTGATTTGGAAATGAGTCCCTGTGAACTCGTAACTCCAGGGCAGCCACAAAGTAAGTAACATCCCAGTCTCACTGGATGTCCAAACCCCAATGAGTCTTGGACAGTTTCTCCCACACAGAGCTACAAATCTGTCTGCCCCCTTGTCTCAAAGGATGCATCCTACCTGGAAAAACCACGCATCCTACCCAGGAAGACCACACTGTCTGCATGTACCCAGCCTGCCATTCAAAAAGAGCCCAAAACAGTCCTGTCAGCTGTGAGGCAAACCTCAGATTTAGAAAGACACCCCACCTCACAGGGCCCTGCCTAAGTCACACCTGAATTTGCATGTGGAAACTGATAACTCTTTGATTGATGGTGACATTTTGAAGCCATGTAGCTCCTATCCATTCAAGACTCAGAAAGTCTTTACAGGAAAGAGTTCTTTTCTTTTGGCTTTTAAAACATTTATGCATTACAGGGGATCAGTTGGGAGTCTCTTGAAACCATGGAGTGAATCAAAACAATTTCCCCCAGGTTTAAGATGTAAATTGAATGAGAGCTGGTTGTGGTGCCCTTGTTTGTAATGCCAGCACTCAAGGGGACTGGGGTACAGAGACAGACTCTGTCTCTAAAACAAGCAGAAAATAAGATAAAGTAAGCAAGAGAGAAGGAGAGAAAAACCTGAGTGAGCACAACTTGTGTCGTGGCGTTTGGGTCTGAAAGGTCCTCCACAATGACACTTGCTTGCACACGTGGTCCCAGTCAGTGGTGCTGTTTTGCGAGTGTGCAGTCTTTGGAAGTGAAGTCTGGCTAACAGAGGTGGATCTTTGGAAGACAGCCTTGAAGGTTATACCCACCTTTGGCTCTTGTCTCTGCCTCCTGCTTGCTGCAATGTGACCGGGCATCTCATGTTCCTGCCATCATGTCTCTCCCCCATCATGCTGGACCTGAAACCATGAGACAAAAATACATATTTCCTCTCTTTAAAAAGAGATACGTTTTACTTTTGTTTTATGTGTATGAATATCTATGTGTACATCTGTGCATCACATGTGTGCAGAGCCCATGGAGGCCAGAAGCTGTCAGACCTCAGATTTCCTCTCATAAGATGTTCTGGCTGATATTTTGTCATAGAAAAACTTATAGAACTGGCGTTTTATTTTGTTTTTAATTTTTTATTAAATTTTTTCATTTCTTTTATATACTGACCACAGTGTCCCCTTCCTCCTCTCCTCCTATTCCTTCCCCCTATCTCCTATCTACTCAATCCCCCCATCCACTCCTCCTCCATCTCCCTTCAGAAAAGGAGTCAACAAAGCATGGCATATCAAGCTGAGACAGGATCGAGCTCCTTCCCCTGCATCAAGGCTGGGTAAGGCAACCCAACATGAGTAATAGGTTCCCAAAAGCCTGTTCAAGCACCAGGGACAGGTCTTGCTTCTGCTGCTAGGAGCCCCACAAACAGACCAAGCTGCACACATGCTGAGGGTCTAGGTCAGTCCCATGCAGGCATCTTAGCTGTTGGTTCAGAGTCTGTGAGCTCCTATGAGCTCAGGTCAACTGCCTCTGTGGGGTCCTCTGTCATGACCTCTGACCCCTGGCTCATACAATCCCTCCTCCCTGTCTTCAACAAGACTCCCTTTGCAAGTGTCACGTGGCTTGTTTTGATCACATTCACACCTCCTCCCCAGCATTCCCAGTCCATTCTGCCTTCCCCACTAATCCAACTCTGTGTCCTTAAAAAAGAAATTTCACAACCAGTTTGTGCTTTAGGAATAGTCTTTACAGCTGGAAAGATGGTTAAGTGATTAACAACACATGTGAGATGGCAACTAGGCCAGACCAGAGCCATGGCAAGCTTCTAACAGCCCCTGCCAAGGACCCAGCCTTAGTTTTGGTTTCCTGGAGCTGAGCAAGCCATCAGATAACCACATCTCAAGGACAACCAATCAACAGGCACCCCCCAGATCCTCCCACTAACTAAGAATAGCTTTTCTTACCCGGCCACTGGAAAAATCACTGACCACTAGAGTCACCTACCAGTCCTATAAACTTTGTGTTTAAATCCACCAATCAGGCCCCAGACTAAACTCCCCTCCCTGGAATTCTCCTAATCTTGCTTAAAAGAAGCCTTCAGGCTTCTCTGTGGTTGATATTTGTCACTTTGTCAGATGGTTAGACCCCAACGTCTTAATAAACACTCTTGTTCATTGCATACATGACTAGTAGTCTTTCATGGGACTTCCCGAGGGCACTAACAGCATGCTGCTCTCACAGTGGGCCTGTTCAGTTGCCAGCACCCGCATGCAGCTCACAACCACCTGTAACCCGAGCTCCAGGGTTATCTGACTCCTCTGACCTCTGCAGCCACCTCCATCACATGCACATATTCGCACATGGGTGTATACATATATACGCACAATCGAAACAAAACACGTCTTTGAAACACAAGAGGGGTCTTTAAATGAATATTTTTATTTGAAAATTTATTTTACCTCTAAGGCTATTGTCATTATTACGTAAATTCTAAGATACCATAAACAAATAATAATCACAAAATAATCCAAGCAAATATTGAAGAAATAAAGAAAAATCTTACTAACTAAAGAAATGAATCATCCAATTTTAAATTGAGCAAAAGGAAAAAAATAAGATGACTGCTCTCTTTGGACTTACTGGAAACCTCTAACTGTTTTGTTTTCATAGAATGTGCTGAGCGTGGAAAGTCAAGAGGAAAACCTCCCCGATATACCTTCTCACTGTAAGTTTTAAGGCACATGGCAATCTGACTGTCACCCTTACTGCTCTTAAAATCCCTTGCTATCACTTTCTCTGGTCACTTTTAAACTACATGATCACGTTTTGATGGCTGACCCAAAAGAACATAAGCAACTCTCAAAGCTTCTCAGCAAGTGATATTTCTACATCCAGACATAATTCTTCATTTTAAAGAAAGAAATAAAATAAGATGAGACAAAGAACCACACGTGGGTAAACTGGAGGTTATCAATGACATGGCCCAATAACTCTCTGTCCTTAGCCATGAACCTGAATGTTAACTTGATTCTACACAGAGATAATGGAGTTTACCCATATATGTCTCTGAGGTCTTATTGCAAATTTATGCAAACATGAGAACACCTTATCATCCCTTTCCTGCATCCAAAAAGTTGATGTCACTGTAGACTGTGTGGAGAAAACCACTGTGAAGACTGTGGAGAGAACCACTATGAAGCCTGTAGGGAGAAAACCACTGTGCGGACTGTGGAGAGAACCACTGTGAAGACTGTGGAGAAAACCACTGTTAAGACTGTGTGGAGAGAACCACTGTGCGGACTGTGTGGAGAGAACCACTGTGCAGACTGTGTGGAGAGAACCACTGTGCAGACTGTGTGGAGAGAACCACTGTGAAGACTGTGTGGAGAGAACCACTGTGAAGACTGTGTGGAGAGAACCACTGTGCAGATTGTGTGGAGAGAACCACTGTGCAGACTGTGTGGAGAGAACCACTGTGCGGACTGTGGAGAGAACCACTGTGCGGACTGTGGAGAGAACCACTGTGCGGACTGTGGAGAGAACCACTGTGCAGACTGTGTGGAGAGAACCACTGTGCAGACTGGAGAGAACCACTGTGCGGACTGTGGAGAGAACCACTGTGAAGACTGTGTGGAGAGAACCACTGTGCAGACTGGAGAGAACCACTATGAAGACTGTAGGGAGAACTACTAGAACTGATAAGAAACCAGGAAAGGATAAGATAAACATCCAATGTTTATCCTTCCAGCTTCCTGTCTTACATTTCACCACCCTCTGGCTCAGTCCTTATAATTACGAGCAAAGTTTTTGTTAAATAGCCCTTTTCAAGGAGCTCTCTTTCAAGAACTTGGAATTCCTTCAGTCATTCTACATTGTTCCTTGTGGTTTGTCTACAAGCTTGAATACATTATTTTAAATTTTCCTTTGGTGAAACCCACTCAAAATCCCCAATTTCCTTCCAGATCTCTGACTGACTTTCTAAGAACATGTGATATAACTACACTGTTAACCGATAGAAGCCATGTAGACAGCACAGCATCCAAACCCAAAAGGTAATATTAAGTCTAGATGCCAGGTACACTCAGTTCATTCTCCAATGTTGAACTCCACTGCTTGCCTTTTCAAGTAGAAAGAATAATACAGTTAAAATTAATGCAACACAAAATAATTGGATGTAAATGTCATGTAAAAGAATCCATTTGGAATTTGTAAAATATTTGCCTTCATAAAGAACTTTAGAATTCTAGAATAGTTTCCTTATAGGATTAAATATCTCAAGAAGAAACATCAAAACTAACTTGGTCTCACACACTCCGAGTTCCTCCACCCATTAGATGCTATTCAACTCTTTGCATTTCTGAATAGGAAAAGACATTTGTAAACAATAAAAGCTGCAAAGAAAACTCAGGAAAAGTCAAGCTGAAAAGACTATGAGACCAGACCAGCTGTCTGAAGGAAGCAAAACCCTAGGAAGCTTCCTGGAAGAGGTTTAAAACAGAGTCACTCAAAAGGGACTCACTCTCTCCAATCTTTTGAGTTGTCTGAAGGCTGTGAGTGTGTTCCATATCCCCAGCTTTGTGATCTGTCACCATGCTGGGGTGAGTTTTGGTGATGTGGCTGTCTTTGAATCACTTCTGCTCTTATCAGTAATCCTTTGCCCATATTTCTGTAAGTAACCCCAGTAAAACTCATGGTTCACCAAGTTCAACTTCAGTGGTATCCATACTTAGGTCTATTATGGGCTTCCTATAGGGTGAGTTGTGTGTGTGTGTGTGTGTGTGTGTGTGTGTGTGTGTGTGTGTGTGTGTAGCATCTCCCCAGTAACAGTTTTGTCACACAACACCAATCACTGGCAGGAGTGTTTCTCTCATGCACAATTCTGGTAGACTCACTTTATGTTAACATTTTAATACTGTATTCTGGTCTTAATCCAAGACACATCCCTGTACTACAGCACTGAGTGAACTCACGAATATTTTTCATTTCTTCTGTGGAAATGAACTGATTATAGTAACAGTATTAGAGGAAGCATTAGTTTGAAAACATTGCCTGAGGGACACAAAAGTTATTTTTATTTCATAATTAGGCACTTCTGTCCCTGGGGCATTTTACAGCCATATTTTGAAATAACAGCCATTATTGTATTACAATTTTCTGGTTTTTTGCACATAAAAATATTTAGAAAGTGTTTTTAGCTGAGTTTTATTAGTCATCATGCCAGGAAGTGCCTAGTGTTATGGATGATGGAATTATCTTTGAGGGCTTCCCTTTAGTGTTATGTCTTCCTTATAGTCTACATTCTCTCACTGTGTGGTACTAGAACTGCAATATAAAGTAGGAATTGAATATTCTCTCCATTTGTATAAGTAATATGCACACAGGGATAACGTACACTCTGTCCATATGTCTCCACTCTTCCCCCAACTCAGCATTAAATCGTCCGTGTCACACATGAAACTACTTTATATCTTAGGTAAAGCTGTATTCACAAGAACTAGAAATGTGGAGTTCATTCAGCAAACACAGAACAATTCCAAAACAGCCGACTGGATGGACTGCATTTCCCTCTTAGGTGATTTCATAATCTCAAAATTGTGTGCCGTGGTGTGCACATACAGAGAGGGGAGAGAACAATGAAGTAATTAAAAAACAAAAGATCACCCAATGGATTGAGACAATTCTCAAATCTAAAATGGAGCTCTCCACCCTAATATGCACTGGTTTGCTTGTGTGACGTGTGTGCAGGCACCTGTGTGTCCAGAAGTCAAGACGCAATGTCTTCCTGTGTCACTTTTCACTTTACTGTTTAAGCAGGGTCTCTCACTCAATGTGGAACTCACTGATTCAGCTAGATTCATGGGTCAGCAAACCCCCAGAAACCTACTGTCTTCACCTCCTTAGAGCTGGGTTT